GTTTACATATAATTGTAAAGCAATACATGATTGTCACTAAAAGCCTTGTCTATACATTACAATAAAATATAAAAAATAATTGATTAATGAATTTGAATACAAATTCAAGTTAGTATCTATTATAGACATAAAAAGACAGAAATGTATAATTTTTTATTTAATAGAAATGTTTCTTCTGCGCGTTAAGTGTCCAAGCCGGGCTTGTCTGGATAAGCGCATTTTTAAAACATAGTCATTGTCCATGCCGGTTTCAGTGGGATTATTTGTCACAGTTGCTCCGATCAGATTGGTATCCTCCATTTTGTGGATTATTTACGACTTTTGAATCCGCATAAACACATCGGCAAAATCCGGCTTACTTTGAGCATGTGTTTTAAACAGTTTAATCCCTTTGTGAATTGTTTCCACTTCTGCGCCATCCTTTAATTTCTTCATACAGCGGGTATCCAGATTAATTCATCCGGAGTCCAATAACCATCAAAGTCACTCCAATAGTGCTCCTTAATTACGCTTTCATCCTCCTTTAACAAAATACTTGACATTCATCCAGTTTGTGACAGTAGTTGTAGCATTTTGAGACTTTGACACTTTAATTACCACTGTTTTCTGTTTTCTAGTGTTTTTATTTGTTGTTTTGAGAATTAGAAAATGAAAATCATCCCGTTTTTTAAGTTTAGTAAATCCCTTTTTGACCATGATAAAGAAAAACGCCTTGTATTTCAAGTTTGGTTTTTCAATTTTAAAACGAAAATTCGTTTTTTGTTTTTGAATATCCTTTTTGTGAAAAGAAAATCCAATGACCAAAACATACACTGACCCATCTTCCTGTACTGACTGATTCACCAATTTGTCATCCCTCACAATAGTTTGATGGGTTTTCTGTTTATAGGGCGGCTATATTGATGTTCTCCAAAGTGCAGATTTGGATGACCACCTGAGCTTCACCAGCCCTCTCTGCCCAAATAAGCAGTCCTACTCCTCCTGGTCACCAATCAGACCTTAGTATCCGAAACAGCTCATTGACCTCTTGGCCCAGGAAATACCGAGAGTTCTTTCCAGTCGAATCTCCCTGGCGCATCAATGGGATGTGACAGTATGATTAGTCGACGAGAGAGAACTAATTGACAACGTGATCAACTCGCCTGCTGCGGGTCACGCCATGGCATTGGCACTTCATCACCACTAATGATATAATGCTGTGTGCATGTGCGTGCAAGGGTAAACTTGGATAGGTTTGTGTTTATAGACAACATCCTCAGGTGGCACAGGTATCAACACTGTTTTTTGTGTTTGAATGGGTAGGGTCAAATATTAAGTATGACCTGTGGCTGGGGAGTAGCAACACAGGGATTTATATGTCATTAATTAATTAAAAAAGCTGTCAGTGCATGTAATAACATGTTATTGCACATATTCTATGCTGCTTGTGGTGTACACAAAATCCAAACAGGTTAGATAATGCTGTTTAACATAATCCCAGGGTAAGAACAATGTTGTTTTCCCATAAAATGTATCAACAATACTGTTCTCAAAATGTGTTTTAGGTGTTGTTTTTTATTCCAGTTTAATCGTATTCTGGTTGGTTGGATTTGTTTAAGCAGATTTGATCAAAATAAGTCCTACTCGGGTGTGGAAAAAAACCTTTGTACCTAAACTCTTCAGAGGAATTGGTCTCGGCATGGTCTCAAACTAAGTCTAGACTGGTTAGTTTTTGGTAGGAACGTGATCTTAACTTAATCTGTTTACAAGATAATTGGGTTTAGGGTCAACACTGATACTCAAGTAACAAATGAACAAGAATAAGGTGGCTGTATACTCTCAGGAACACCAACAAAAGACCCACATATTATACAAAGATGAATACCCCGTGAAAAACTCTGACGATAAATATCTATTATTGTAACCTGTAATGGCTCACCTAATGTTAATCCACCAGAAATGGGGTAATAACCTAAAAGCCTATAATCATAATTGGAAAAGAAAGAGTTTATTTAGACTGCCAATGTTTCTGGAGCTCCACCAAGCAGAGGTGTCTAAAATAAAGACCTGACACTACTTTACTAGAAATCGGATCCATTAGACTGAATGACATATTGGACTCTTCTATTTTAGGTCTACAATAAAAATCTATACCCCAAATGGGAAAATTAATGTCAAGAAAAGAGTCAAACTTGAGCTGAATTTTCAATCAGGTAAAAAGCAAGTTAAGTGAAAGCAATCTTTTGTAATACCTGAGCCCAGTTATGCCAAGTTTAGTCAAAAGCACCACTTGATGAAGCTGTTATGTGGATGAAAGAACACATGCGAAGCGTAATGCTCTGTAATTTAAAATAATGATCAACTCCTGTTGTACATTCTGACCTGATATTTTCAGCTGCTTTGAAGAGCACATTAAAGCTATTTGATGCTATTCCTAGAGAAAAACATCAAATTAAACTGCCACTCTCCGACCACCTTATCCAACCGACTGGTCTCTCGGCTACAGGGTAATGGAAAGAATATGACACACAGACAGAGAGTTGGAAAACAA